AAGTAAGAAGAAGATAGTATAAGATGTACACTAAAGCTACTAAAGCTGCACAACTTAGTAGCTAAATAATAGCATATTAATTTTTTACATTATATAGTAAGCTTTGCTACTATATAAAGTAAGAAGAAGATAGTATAAGGCGCACACTAAAGCTATTAAAGCTGCACAACCTAGCAGCTAGATAATAGCAGTACCTGCGTAATCTACTACACAAGTAATTAACTTTATGCCTTATAAAGCACTTTATTTTATTACCTATTTTTTTAAAAAAAGTAATAATAAAGCACTTACACTTTATAAGGTACTTTATTTAGTTACTTATTTTTTAAAATAGCAAATTAATTTTTTACATTATATAGTAAGCTCTGCTACTATATAAAGTAAAAAGAAGATAGTGTAAGGCGCACACTAAAGCTATTAAAGCTGCACAACTTAGCAGCTAGACAACAGCAGTACCTGCGCAATCTACTAGAAAAGTAATTAACTATACTATTATAATAAAATTCTATTTGTAACTAACAACTTTATGTAATAATAGAAAAAATAAAAAATAATTCCTATTATATAAATAACTTATAAAAGATATAAAGATATTAAAAGCAACACTATAAAATAAAACTAGCCTAAAGTACTAAAATAATAAAATTAACATGTTAGAAGCTCTAATAAGCCTATAAACTTAATTATATATAAGTTATATAATTACTAATTTATATATAATAACTTAAAAAAGCGCTACTTTTTTAAGTGTGTATATAAAGGATTTTAAAAGATAGACACTATAAGACTTCTTAGCACTTAGCTGCACATTTAAAAGGGAGCTTATATAAGTGCTAGAAAATAAAAGAATTACACTATAGCTAGGCACTAAAGGTACCTAAGCCTAGAAGCTATATAATATAGCATAAAAAAAGTAATTACACTAAAAAAGGCTTTATATGTAACCTTTATTACTATATAAGGCTCTGCATAAAAGTAGACTAAACATAATGCTGCTATTAACACTAAATATACTAGCATTACCTGCTCTTACACTTTAGCTAGCACTATACTAATTACTGTATAAATAATACATGCTACCCTACCTAACGCCTGCTCTACACCCTTAATTGTACACACTACTGTCTACAGTAGTGTATGCACTACTAATACTACCTGCATAATCTATACTACATTACAACCTGTATAAACTTCTACTTTAAAGGGAAACTACTAAAGAAAAACTTTTAGTAGACAAAATTATATAATTTTAAAAAGCATAAAAGAAAAATAATAACTACATAGGTTAACTATACAACATTTTTATAAATAAAATAAGAATTTTTATTAATCTATATTAATAGCTAGATATTTAGAAAACTTAGTACATAGACATCTTTCTAGATATTCTAGAAAGTTAAGCAAATATGCACTATATGCACAACATAGGCCCTAGATATAACTAGAAGCATTTATATAACACTTTAAGCATTATAATAAAAAATTTTGCGTAAAGAGAAAAAAAAAAACTATAAAAAGTAAAGTTTTATGTAAAAAGTAAGACTATTTTAGTAGAAAAGCAGCCTATTAAGTTTAACAGTAAAAAGATTAAACTTACACACAACACAGTAGTTCTTACTTAAAAGAAATAAGTAAGCTACCTTTATATAATTAACTTAGAGAATAAGGATGCTGCATAATAATATGTTAAGTAATATGTAAGAGGGGCATACATTGCATCTGTATATTAACTAAAGGCAGCATTTAACCTCTCTATTACTGCATAAACTATAGACCCTTTGCATAATAACATTAATGCACTTAACACATAAATTTAATAGTAGATAGATAACAGTAAACGCAGTCTTACTTTTCTACTATTATAGCTTAATTATGCAAAGCTGTTTATCTTTATAGATAAATTATTTACTAATAATAAAGACCTTAGCTTATAGCTAGAATTCTTAATTATATTAAGTAATAAGGACTATATAGAGTAAAGTAACTGCTTTAAAATACTAGGCAACATTATATACTAGAATTCTACTAAGTGTAAAAGAGTAACTAGGAGTGTCTTTACTAGCAAACTGTACAGAATAGTTAGAGGGTTTAATAATGCAATTGCCCTTATAATCTGCATAAATTTAAGGTCTCTATATAATTACCTTATTAAGCTAGGCACTACTAGTAAAAAGTAACTTATAATTAACATTATGTTACTCTACAAATTATATAAGAAAAGGGAAATTACTAAAATTAGGTAGATTAATAGTAAAAATAACTTAGTAGATGCATGTATAAAGAAAACACTAAATTAAGCTCTTTAATTATTAGTTCTAACTAACTGCCTCTCTGTCTAGATAGAAGCATTTATAGACTAGCTAGATTTTATGCGCAAAAATGCCCTAGACTAACTAGACTAATAACACTTTTATATAAAGCTTATCTTTTTTATTTTTTTTATTATACACACTTATTTTTTTTATTATAAGATTAGAAAAGAAAGATATGTAAAAAAGACAGTCTATTTATCTAGTATACAGAAAAAGAAAAAGCTACTACCCCTTACATATAGTAGTTACAATGCAGACCACAGCTCTACTATATGCATAAGGCGTAGGCATTAGCCTAAAAGTTAGCTAACATATAACACTTAATAAAAGAAAAAGCACTAGTAGTGCTACTATAATAATAAGCACATAAAGTTACTAGGACTTAACTATAACTTTAGACTAAAACTACATAAAAGTACTTCTTATAACACATAACCTTTGCTGCCTACAGCTGCAGATTAGTGCTAGTAGGCAAGACAATATTAATATTATAAAATAGTAAAGCTACTATATGCTACTTCTTAGCCTATTTATAATTAGCATTTTATATAAAAAGAAAGTAAAAAAGCTAAAAGATTTATATATTTATACTAAAATGCTAAATAAACTACTAATTAGTAGTAGAACTAGTTAAAAAAGTAACATAAATGCGCTCTAGGCTGCTAGACTGCATAAGGATGTTAAAGACGCCCGCACTAACAGCGCTAGAGGTAGAGGAGGAAGGCTAGAGAGACATCTCTCTCTCTCTCTATGTGTGTGTGTATGTGTGTGTATAAGCAGGAGTATCTATTACTGTTAGCACTGTATAAAAAAAGAAAAGAGCTAAAGAATTATACAGTAAGGCTTAGAAAGTAAAAGATAAAGAAAAAAAAGTAATAAAAAAAAAAGACCTTATTATATACACCTCTCTATGCACTTGCCTACACAAAGATTCTACACTATTCTAGCATAAAACTCTACATAAAACAGTTTATATACTACTAAATTACTTATAAAGTAAGTGTATAAAGGCTAGATAATAATAGCTTAAAACACTTTACACTATTTATAAAGCTATTTATATAGTGTAACTAGCTTATTTTAATGTACAGCATTACTAAGGCAAGTTCTAATAAATAAAGTAAAATAAAAGTAAAACATAATTAAATAAACTTACATAAACAGAAAAAAAGTAACATGTATAAAAGGTAACTCTTTAGATAAAAAGAAAAGTTGCTAGTGTCTATATATAGCAGCAGCGTTATAATCTAGATACAAGCAATTACGCATAAGCAGGACTACATATCTATGTTATATAATGCTTGTGCGCAAACCTCTATGCGTAAATATTTAGATATCCCCCTTTTTCTTTGTATAAAGGAAAGACAAGAGTAATAAAACTAGAAACATGTTACTCTTACTTTACCTACCTTATATGCTGTGCACACTGTACACCACTCTTACTCTTGCTACTTAAGTGCTTATACTATAAGCAGCTAGCTGTTAGAGCCTATTTAACAGGCTATGTAAATAGTTTTTAAAAATTAAAATAATCAAAAATAAAAAAGCTAGAATAATCTAGCTAGTATATAACATGTATATTAAAAAATTAGTAAAAAAGTTTAACTTTATAAAAAGTGTGCTTTTTCTAAAGACTTTTTTACTATTAAAAGAGCTTATAAGTAACTAAAGATTAGCATTAAAGTATAAAATTAAGAAATACTAAAAGCGCGTAAGATTACTACTTTATACTATAATTATAGTGCGCTTTAATATAGTGTTTATAGTATTCTAGCTCTTCTACTACTTAATAAACCTAAGAAAGTAGCACTTTTAGGCAGTAAACTAAGTAATTATGTACTTATACTGCATAAAGTATACAGGCATATAGTATAAAGCACTAGAAGGTGTGTAACTTATTATGTATAAAAACATATTTTTTACTAATTACATAAAGACTAAATAATTATTTTATAAATATATTATTTTACTTTTTAAAAAACTAATTTTATAGAAAGTAGCTTTTTAGCTAATAGTAACTATGTTTATACTAAAAGCTAAGCTGCTAGCTTTAGCGCATATTATAAAAAAATTACTAGCTTTAAAACACTTTTTTAAAAAGCTTACTTTAAAGCTAGGCACACTATAGTAGATCTACTATAATAACTAGCAGATAATTTAGTTAGTAGTAGAGAAGAACACTTAGGTAACTACTTACCTACACTATATTAATATCTAGAACATGTAGCTGCGCTAGAAGCATATAAAAGAATCTTTTAAAGTGCGCTATATTAAAATAAGTAATATGCTAGTAAATAAACCTATAAAGTACTTACTAAAATAGTAATTTAAGTACTTTAAGCAGCTTTTTAACTTTAAAGACATGTAAATAAGCTTTTAAAAAAAGAAAGTATTAATTATTAATAGTAAAAACATTTTTATACTACTTAAAAATAAAGGTTTTATTTACTAGTAGAGACACTCTTCTATGCTATAAAGTTTAAGTAGGGATTTAGTATATAAGATGTGTAAAAACATAAAATACTTAAACTATAAAAAGATTAATAAGCTTACCTAAGAGCTTCTTAGCGCGCTAGTAACGCGCTAGAAGCCTAGGGGAAACGTTACTCTACTCCTTCTTCTTCTTCTCCTCCTCCTCCTCCTTCTCCTCCTCCTCCTCCTCCTCCTC